TGGGCAAGGATCCAGGGAACAGATCCATGGAATGGACTGATCTTCAATTTTGTGTGCGATGTTACGGGTACTAACAAAGCGCCCCAGAGCAAGACACTCCCCATGGAGTAGGAATCTCCCCTGGAGGAGGCTGCCCACCGCCATCAGGGCTGCTCCTCAGGCTACTCTACACAAAGCCTCCCATGCAAGGGGCCTCTCACCTGCCAGCTCCTCTCGCAGCGGCTCCTTCACCAGCTGCTCCCCAATGCCAGCTCCCGTATGGCTGTGCCCCTGGCCCTTGTAGGGCCCCAAGGCCTCTGCTTGGCCCTTGTCAGCCCCCTCAGCCTCTGCTCAGCCCTGGGTGGCCCCCTCAGCCCCCACGGCCTCTGCTCAGCACTTGTCAGCCCCCTCAGCCCTTGTCAGCCCCCTCAGTCCCCGCAGTCTCTGCTGGGCCCTTGTCCGCCTCCTCAGCCCTTGTAGGCTCCCTCAGCCCCCTCAGTCTCTGCTCAGCCCTTGTCAGCCCCCTCAGTCTCTGCTCAGCCCTTGCTGGCCCCCTCAGCGCAGTTCCCCTGGCGCGGCGTCCCTGCACACTGTGCATGCTGCCTCCCACACAGCAGCTGCTCTCTAGGGTGCCCCTCCTGCTGCGGAATCTCCAGTGCCCACCCCCACAACCGCAGCTTCTTGGCTGCCCACTCCTCCCTCAGTCCTCTGGCCTCTGCAGCCCCATTCACCCAGAGGCTGTTGGCCCTCGACAGCCTGGAATCACAAATTACAGCATGAGGCACACCAGCCAACTCTGAGAGATCTTGGCCTTTGCTAACTTTTATAGCTCGGCCTACCTGTCCAGCCCCAGAAGCACAAATCACGGCAGATTTATGGCCTACATGGAGTACTGATGCTACAGTATACCGCTATCAGAATGCCAAGAAGACGCATTGAAACACGGAGATCTCAGGCTGATCTATTATCGAAAATTGCAGAAATTGGTATGGGAGAGCTTGTCATTCAATCAACAGATAACGCTGAGTACTCAAATCCCAGAATGCAGACGGGCTATCCTTGTGATATTTGTGACATCATTACTGAAACTCTGTTAAAATTAACCTTGTTTTTTAAGTGAGCTGTGGATTTTGACAGGACTGTTTATTGGAGAGACTCAAAGCTGTCTGTGTGAATGTAGTGTCCTCCTGCATACTGGTAGCATAGCAAGGTCTGAATTCCTTAACAGAAATGCTGATATATTGCATGATTGGTAAAATTTGCCATGCGGGATGTATACTCCCTTTTCAGGAATTTTGATTTCTAAGTCTGATTGCACTAAATTAATACTGATTCCTTGTTCAGTTATTATGATGTTAGCTGCTACTATGAAAAATTAGAAACTTGTATACCTGGTAGAATATTTACAGGTTGGTACCCCAAAAGTACTATTTATCAATGTGGATAATGTTTTAGCTTGTGGACAGGAAGGTTCATATTTGTAAGATACAGTGCCCCCTTAGACAATTCAGGAGATCACTCGTTGGAAATATTTTGGGTGGATAATAATGGAACAATAATTAATTTTCAAGCAAAGTGTCAGCACATTGCATGATTCACTGACAGTTACTGGGAGCAATTAGCTGGGTCATAAATAAGGCATTCCTTTGCTCACTTGAAGGTAAACCTTCAGCTTTATCTGTAGCAACTATTTGGGAATTAGATACAATTAGCTCACAACTTTCCACAGTAAAACCAGACAGAATTGTGTTAGCTTTGCCTGTTCACTTGCTTTTTATCCCACAGCTTTAATAACGTAGTTTCATTTATTTATTTAAGAAACACGTGACATCACTCCGGAGATGTACAGCTATTTAGTGATTCAAGTGTAGTTATTCTTCCTTGCCATGCATAGACTGGACTAAATTGGACTTGATACCAAAACAGTTTCAATACATTGATGGACCACAAGTTTGGTAAACAGCAGCTCACTCCATTGATGACTTGTGTCAGTCTTACACACTCACTGACCTAACCGATTTACTTGTGAAAACTCATGGCAGTATTATATAACTAGGTTCTTGATGTTTTAGCCTTAAATATTTATATCCCATTATCTTTATTATTCCAAGCTTAAATCTATTGTATAGGCAATCTCGAAAAGCTGTCTCACCATCTGCAAACTGAGCAGGTTTGAAGTGCAATTTGCCAAGATATACACTGTTGTAATTTCTCTGAGTAAAGCTGGACTTCAAAATACCCTGAGCAAAGTTATGCATACACTAGAAAAGTCCTGACTATGAATGAATATTTTCAATAACATTTGCATTTACCATGAGCTATTCTATAAAACTATATTATGCAAAATCACAATGTATTTGCCACGCCTTTTTAATCTGTCCAGTAAATTCATGTTGCTGCTATTTCAGTTACAAATCAGATGTTTGTCTGCATATTGCTCATTAAAGTTTAACTATTGTTTGACAAATTTTCAGTAGCTTTCTTGTAATGATGGAGCCAAATGAGTTAAATGCTGCTGTATCTGGAACTTCTAAAGGAACACTTTCAACTCTGACTTTTCTTCAATTTAAGTGATGTCAATTTTCAGTTTTGCTATGTTTCAATTCTGTACAGTTCAAGTGATGTTACAGTTCAGTTCTGTTACGTTTAAGTGATGTTTTAAAATATTCCTGACTGCACAGAACCTTATAAAACCAGACAGATGTGTTCACAAACCAAACCAAACCAAACCAAACCAAACCAAACCAAACCAAACCAAACCACAGAATTAAGGAGAGGAACAGGATCGCAAAAAAACCCCAGGTGAAGCATCTTTAAGCAGACTAAACTGAAGTGCATGGATGAGTTTCTGTGGAAAACTCACAACATAAGGAATCATGAAAGAACACAACCAGAGAATCTCAACTTCCTGTGTGTCTATTTACGTTGTCATGTGAAACAACAAAAAATAACAGAGGTAGCCTATGATGACGAATGTACTGCTGCAATTCACCCACACAGAGCCCATAGCTCTTAAATGAAATTCCAAAAATGCTGCACACTTTCTATTTTTTAGCTTATTTAATTCTGCAAAAAAGGGCCTAAGTGATCAGTTGCTGTGACAGTTATTTTTGTGACAACACTGAATTTTCCAGCAGCACAAAATTACCAAAACCCTCTTCATAAAACAAAGCAGGGAAATAAAATTACCATTAATTTTCATCTTACCAAAGCTAAATTCTTCTGCTGTTCTTCTCCCAATATTGGAAACCCCATTAGCCAACTCAGTGCTCTCCTGTCTCTTTTCAGGGGGTAGGTAGACATCATCATCATCATCTTAAGAAACAAAAAAAACCCCACAGGTTATATGTACAGGGAACTTGTGTGCAGCATAGGAACAGGTGTGAATTACAAAACTCTAACAGAAATAAGGATCTGTGCTTATCCAGACACAAAATTTTGCAACAAATTACTTACCTGAGTAACTACAGAAAGCTCTTGATCAAAACTGTGAAGGAACAACTTGCTCCTTCAAACACGTCTGTGCAAAGCACAAGAGAGCAAAAAAAAAAAAACTCCTTCTGTACTTCCTAAGGAAAACAACATTGTCTTTGAAACATGCCTGCACATCCTGATTCCGTGCTCTTAACCTAATTCCACAAGCAAGCACTGCCAAAGCCAATCTCAGCAGTGTTTTAAAGCACTTACACCACACTAATTCACAAAGACAAGAAACACACATCACCTCCTACCAAGATCCTAGCATGACATCCAGCAGGGACACTGCTTAGCAGCTTTAGAGCCATTTCCATGACAAAGGGAGGTGCTAAGGGCAAAGCTTTGGATCTCACAGTTATCAATATCAGACACACACCTTGAGGCTTCACTTACACCACCTGCAACTCAGCTTTTGTCTTCTGCTACCATCCTTCCCAGAAGCCAGTGCTAACTACAAATGTTACACA